AGGGGTACGCTCACAGCCACCGCAGCCTTAATCTCCTGGGCTCAGGTGATCCTTCTACTTCAGCCTTCCAAGTAGCTGGAACCACAGGTGCGCACACACCCAGCTAATTTTTTTGATTTATTGTACAGACAAAGTCTCACCAAGTTGCCCAGGTTGGTCTCGGACCCCTGGACTCAATCAATCCTCTCACCCCGACCTCCCAAAGTGCTGGCATGATAGGTGTGAGCCAGTGCACCTGGCCTCAACACCCACTTTCTTAGACTATATCTTCATATGATGGAATGTGAAAAAGCCATTAAAAGAGATCAAGTCGCTCTACACAGAGCGACCAAAGGTAAAATACAAAGCAGGTTAAATGAGCAAGTTACAGACATTAAGTGTTGTCTCCTTTGGTGATAACAAAAGCCTCCACGCCATTAGCCATGATTATCCACGAGCAGTGAGACTATGAACAGCTGTTACTCCCAAAGCATCCAAGTCTGAGCCTGAATTTATGTTACAGTGTCTGCGTAGGACAACTGCAGTCAGGAAAATAGAGTAAGCGTTGGCATCCGGTGATAGTTTTGAGAATCATGTTTGCATATCATTTCGGGGAAATACTTAGTTGTATTGACCTCAAAGTAAGATATTCAGGATGTCCATCTTGACCTTTCTCTTGAGTAATGGGCGTCCTGTAAGGAAGGCACTGGCCGGCGTCACTGCACTGAGCTGGAGAACAACCGACTTCTAGGACATGCGGGATTGCTCTGGGGCCCGTCTATACGAGTGATGGCTCGAACACTCCTGGCTGGCCTGGCACAGCCTTCAACCCAACGCTGCAACCTGTGCTGTTACAGGCCTCTGAGACAGGCATGCTGGAGCGTGTGTAGATGTCACTGTGGGTGTGTATATGCCTGAAGGACCAGGATCCATATTTGGGCACAGCTACACACTGACAGCCACATGGAGGAGAAATTGGAGGCAGAAAACCAAGGAAGAGGCTCGTGGCAACAGCCAGGCAAGCGGGGATTGGCGACAAATGGAAAAAAGAACCCCAAAGCAGATGGAGGAGAACAGGCTGGGCAAGGGGTGCGGCAGGGGGTGGGGGTGGGGAGGTTCGTGCTGACCCTGGGGTTTGGGGTCTGGTGGTGGGAAGGATGGTGAGGCCACTGAAAGAAACAGGGAAGCCAGAGGAAAGGGCTTGGGAAGGAAGAGCCAGAGATCAAGGTGAAACCTACAGTGGGCTCTTGGCTGCACCTGGAGACCAGGACACATGGGCAGGAGCCAAGGGGATGCCGGGAACAGCTGCCAGGCAGATGGCGGGATGGCTCCTGAGGCGCCCGTCAGTACAGGCAGGAAAGGGGACAGGGCAACCACGCAGGGAGTGCCAGAGGCCCGAGGAGTACCGGGAGGCTGCAGGATAGAGCAGCAGCAGTGTGGGAGACTTTGTGACACGGAATGTATTCAAAATGAGGCAGAAAAACGGACTTCAAAAAGTGTTTCCTGCTAAAGATGGCTATCATTAAAGTAAAAAAATAGGGCAACCCTTCAGGTCCCATCCCACTGTGGGAGCTCTCACTGAAAAAAAAAAAAGTCAAAGAACAACAGGTGCTGTTGAGGTTGGGGAGAAAAGGGGACGCTTTACCACCGTTGGTGGGAATGTGAGCTAGTTCAACCTTCGTGGAAAGCAGTGTGGCGTTTTCTCAAAGAGCTAAAAATTGAGCTTCCATATGATCCAGCAATCCCACTTCTGGGAATATACCCAGAAGAACGTAAATTGCTCTGCCAACAAGACAACTGCACGTGCACGTTTATTACAGGATTGCCTGAGCCCAGAGTTTCGAGATCAGCCCGGGCAACTTGGTGAGATCTCATCTCTACAACAAATCAAAAAATTAGCCGGGCGTGGTAGCGCATGCCTGTAATTCCGGCTACTTGGAAGGCTGAGGCGGAAGGATCGCCGGAGCCCAGCAGGTCGAGGCTGCGGTGGCCGGGAGCGGCCACTGCACTCCAGCCTGGGTGACAGAGTGAGACTCCAACTCAAAAAAACAAAAAGTGGACTGGATAAAGAAAAGGTGGTACATAAACACGACGGAATACTACACAGCTACGAAGAACAAAATAATGACCTTGCAGCAACACAGATGCCGTGAGACCATCGTTCTAAGTGAACTATCACAGAAACAAAAAACTGAATACCACAGGTTTTCACTCATAAGTGGGCACTGATCACTGGACACACAAGCACAAAGGTGGGAGCAACAGATGCTCTAAAGGAGAGGGAAGGAGAGAGAAGAGGCATGCAAGCACACAGTGGGTGCCATGTCCACTACCGGGGGACAGAGGGCTCGTTAGAAGCCCAATCCTCACCTGTACGCAATTTACTTATGTAGTAAAACCTCACAAGTACCCTGCAACTCAAAAGAAGACAAATTTCCTGTTTGAGTCTATGTTCATAAAAACCTAGTAAAAGTCATGTCTCTCTGCACACTAAAAAGACAAAACTCAACCTAAAGGGGCCCCCACCAGGGTGCTAGCAGCGTTCTCTCTTGGTGCTAAAATGACAGGTGATTTCTATTGACTCTGTGTGGACCCATAGTTCCCACATTTTCCACAGTGACTGTATTTTGGTTTTGTCTTTAAAAAAAAAAAATTAGCCAAAATAAGTTTTGGTAGTGGTGGTTTGTTCTGGTTTTCTTTTTGGGCTGCCTTGAGGGTTGGGCCTGGGAGGTTGAGGACACACGGTCTGGGAACACCTTCCGGGAGCCATTGGGGCCCTGCAGGCTCCACGGAGGGCAGGAATGGGCGCCAGCCAGAGGGTCTACGTGGGTCTGGAGTGAGGCAGTCGGAGAAAGCACAGATGACACTTGCCCAAAGCTTGGCAGGGAAGGGAGGGAGCAGCCGGCAGGGGACACAGGGCTGAGCACGAGAGCATTTATTTAACTCAGGGGATGTTGCCAAGAGCCACAGGCACAGAAAGGAGAGAAGGAGGGTGGAGAGAAGGCAGAAGCTGGGAAGGCTCCTCCAGGCCCCGCCCACCCTCCTCAGGACAGCCCCAGCCGGCGCATCACCCCACGCACCTGAGCACGGACTCCACGAACACTCTCAGGGCCTTGATGTGGATCCAGGCAATGAAGGCCTCACTGAAGTTCACCTTGAGCCAGCGCAGCAGGGGGCCCTGCAGAGATGGAAGAGCCAGGTGACCCCTCCTGGCTGCCCAGCTGGACGCCAAGCCAAGAAAGGACTTAGGTTTCGATAGAGTGAGCCCTGAGCTGAGAAGAAACGCCCAGGAGCCAGCGGAAGCAGAGTCAGTCGACGGGTCCTGGGTCAGGCTCAGGACCTCGGTGTCCAGGTTGCCTGGCGCCAGGGAAGCTCAGCGGGCCAGCCACCCAGCACATGCGCAGGGCCACCGGAGACCAAGGTGTGGGGGGCTGGGTCGCCCCTGACCTCAGGGCTTTCTGCAGGCAGCTAATGGGCTTCCTCCTGACACCGAGCAGCCAGGGAGCCCACCTTCCTGAAGGCTCTGCCCCACAGTCCTGGCACCTCCACCAGCGGCCACTTCCAGGGCTCCTCACAGCCCCACCTCACATGGCCGCAGCAGCTGTCTCTAGTGCTGGTGGGCAGGTCCTCTGGAGGGGTCCCAGAGTCTTGGAGCAAAAGCCCCGAGCTCCCACCTGATGCCTCCAACTGCCCACAAAGGTCAGGGGTGGGTCCAGCCCGGGCAGCCCAGGGAGAGCTGAGCTGCCTGACCCCACGTCCCAGCCAGGACCCTGCTCATCACCAGCTCCAGCCACCTCAGGCCAGGGGCCAGGGCAGAGGCTCCCTGGCCAACAAGCACCCTGCTGGTGGGGGCAGCCCCAGAGAGGCCCTGCAGATCAGAAGACAGGCAGGATTCTGGGCTCCTCGAATTTAAGACCTCGAAAGCCATGGTTAGGGAACAGAAAATGCAAGGATTGGTTTTCTCAGAAGGCGCCTGAGCTGGCGAGGAGATGCAAGCCAGGGACCCCCAGAGTTCCCAGGGCGTTGCTTACCTCACCCTCGCCCTCACTCTCTCTCTCTCTGTCGGTCTGCCCCGCAGCGGGCCTAGCGGGGTTACCTAGCGGGGTTACCTTAACCTTGTGGTCCGGGAAGGTAGATGATCCCTTTTTAAGAGCAACACAGGAAGTTTGCTAAAGGCACAGAAATGATTTATTAATCTTTCAGCAAATATGTATCACAAACAAACAGAAATCATTCTCATCGCCTGAAAAGCACAGGAAAGCAAGTTTGGGCATTCGGGCCCACCCTGGAGACCTGTGTGCTGGGTGGACTAGAGACGTGTCACGTGCCCGCTGACCCCCGGAGTGACGGTGGGACAGTGCTTAAGATTTTGCGTTCCATGGTTCAAGAACAGAGCCAGTCACTAGCAGAGGGGCCAGTCCGGCATCCTCTCCCCTGCCTGGACTTGGTAAGGCCTCCGTCCTGGACAGACCAGGACAGCCCCAGGAGACATTGAGGGGACAGTCCTTAAGACCCCCTAGGAGGCATCAGTGGGAACGGCACTCCCGCAGGGCTCAGCTGTCAGTGCTCAGTCAAGGTGTCTCCACCATGCCCAGTCACAGAAACCTCTCTGGTGCTCCCGAAGCAGCTCACCATGCCACGTGCAGAAAATTAGCCAGGTGAGCCGCTGAGACATCTCCCACTTTGTCATTCTGTCTCTGCCAACAGGTGGAAGACAGAAAAACCCCACTCTGTGCACTCAAAGTCCACTGAAACGCCAAGCCTAGTCTGTTCCCTCTGGTTGACAAGTGATAAAAAATATGCAAGACGCTTGGTCACATCCTCTTCCAACTAAGCCCAAGAGGGACAGAAATCCTCGGGAAGCCAGGGTGGAGACAACGCCAGTGACAGTGCCTTCTCAGAGCTTCACTTCCTACCCACAGAGAAACCCCCGCCCAGGGCAGCATGGGTGGCTCAGGTTACATCATGTTTAAAAAAAAAAGCCATGTGGCAACCCGTATCCCATGAGGCAGGTATCAGGCTTGTGTGTGTCACCCTGATCCGCAGGGGTCTGGCAGACCCGTGCCAGCACCCAAGTGGCTGCCAACAACCCTCCTCCACCACCTGTCCCAGGCAGGGCCTTCTAGCTGAACACGTATAGAAGCTGCCATGACCTGGCCCCCATCCAGAAACACTGTGCAGGGGTCTCGGGGTCAGAACTGAAGTGAGCAGAGAAAAGGTCCAAGTAAAGAGAAACGCTGGGGTGTCCAGAGGTAATGAGGGCTTCAGGTGAGCCGAGGATAAGGCAGAAAACGCTTCGGATTTCAGTTCTTGGTGGTGAAAAGCATCCCTGCCTGGGTCTGCCAGGTCTATGACTTTGCTCTAAAAAGGGCCTGGGGAGGTCGGGCACAGTGGCTCAAACCTGTAATTCCAGCACTTTGGGAGGCCAAGGTGAGAGGATTGCCTGGGTCCAAGGGTTTGAGATCAGCCTGGGCAACTTGGTGAGACTTCGTATCTTCAATAAATCACAAAAATTAGCCGGGCATGGTGGTGCCTGCCTGTCGTTCCAGCTACTTGGAAGGCTGAGGCAGAAGGATGGCCTGAGCCCAGTGGGTCAAAGCTGTGGAGGCTGTGAGCATGCCGCTGTACTCCAGCCTGGGTGACAGAGTGAGACTTCGATTCCAAAAAAAAAAGAACTTGGATTCCACAGCCCCAGCAAAGCCCTTGTCCTCAGGCAGGGATGCTCTCCCTGGAATCTTGGCTGCAGCCCAGGAGGTTCTGGGTCGGAGGTGTGTGCCCACTTGGCGTGTACACACATGCCCACACACAAACACGTGCGGGCCTCCTTGTGTTTGTTTCGGGGGGGGGGTCTAGAAATCTCCAATACGAACTCTTATATCATCAGTTGCTTCCTTCCTAAAAGGAAACAGACCAGTTCCATGGGAGCTCTGAGAACCCCATTTTGGGGGCTCCATGGCTAGGCTCACTCCTGAGGGGTGGCTGTTAGCAACAATGCCTGCCAAAAGGTCACTGACTCAGAGAGGTCGGTCTTGCGGGCTGTGGCCCGATGTTGGAGGAGGCCAGAGCAAACACTCGCAGCATCGGAAGCGCTTCTAGCCTGGTCCCGTGGTCCGGGTTCTTCTTCAAAAGCACGTACTTGCGGCTTTGTGTTTACACACTGACCTTCCTTCACAAGGCCTCAAGGACATTCTGCTCACCCTTTCCTCCCTCTCTGTCACTGGAGGCAGGATTGGAAGATGCACCCCTGCAGAGCCCTCCCTGGTGGCATGGGGGAGAAGGGGCCGGAAAACACTCCACCTGATCTCCTTCGGAGTCACCTGGCTTAGCCCCGCACTGCAGCTGAGGACACCAAGTTTGAAGTGTGCCCATTTCCCAGAGTCCTGGAGCGGCTTTCCCAAGGCTAAGCTGTTCACATTTCCGAAGTGTTTTACTCCCCCGCGAGCTAAGCTCCCCTCCTGCATGGAAAGTTTCTGAGTGGCTGTGGTCAGACATCTCCAGATAAGCACCCACTCGCTGCTAAGAACACAGGGTAGGTAAATACAGGTGCCGGGGACACCTGGAAACCACATGACCACGCTCTCCGGGGCGGCACAGCTCTCTCCGGACACAGATGCTCCCACCTGGAGCCCACATACCCGGCTCGGTCCCAGGAAGGTTGGGCAGGGTCATCAAGCCAAATAGCCTCTCAGAACCTCAGTTTCCCCACGGCCAAGTGGAGCTGGTAACCCCTGCCTGAAAGGCCCGTGCTTGGGGCTGGTGAGGGCTTACGTGGAGGGTGTCGCGCCAGGGCAGGCCTGATCCAGCCCCCTGGGCTTCTTTATGCTCCTCACCCCTTTCTCTTGACCTGCTCTGGCAGCCCCAGGAGAACAGATGCTCCGACTGTGTGAGCCCAGGGGACTGGGGACAGCGAGGGAAAGATGCGGCTTGGGAGGGCACTTGGGCACAGCATCGTGTGTGAAAACCCACTCGGCCTGCAACACATACTCACATATTGTTGCTTCTTATCAGACAGCAATCTGGACATCTCTTCCCTTTCCCTTTTAATTTCTTTTTCATCATAGTAAAATTCACGCACAGTGAACCTTAAAACAAGCAGACCACGGGCTTTCACTAAGAAGCTTCCCAGAGGGCCAGAGATCCCTCCCCCCCAGGGGGGACCAACCAAACCCGGGGAAGCCTGAGAGGCCACACCCTTACTTGTTCTCTTTGGCCTTGGTTTTGAAATCATCAATCACTTTTCGAAACAAAGTCACAGTGAAGAGGCCACCCTCGTTGTCCTCAGCAATCAGTCTGTTGGAAAGAAGCATCTACTCGCGCGAGTCACATCCAGCCAAGCCCCGTGCTGGACTCGGAGGCCGGTCACTGTGGAGCTGGGCCTCCGTGGCTCTCTGCACCTGGGTGCCTATGTCTGAGGGCCTGGAAGCCGCTGGGGGCTGGGAACCAAGGCCACGGCCTATGGTTACCTAACTCCCTGCTGCCTGCTGCTTCCTATTCCCTCCTGCCCCTTCCACACACCCTCCGGGCTAAGACCTCCAAGGCATCCACAGGTTTGAGTGCTGAGATCTGGGTTTCAGCTCCTGTTCATCAAATGCCTGAGAAGTCAAGCTCCTTCTGGCCCGTGGCTGTACACAGTGTGCCCCTGGCTATGAGAGACTTGGCTATAAGGAAGCAAGGCAGACTTCCGGTCGGTGGAAGCTATCTCTCGAGGACCGGTTCCCTTCCCAGTGCCACAAAGTCCTAATTGGACACAGCCTCCCCGGCACGCCTCCACACAGGACCACTGGGGTCCTGTCTCCAGCAACACAGGAGTTCTCAGGGCCAGGGGTCTAAGTATCTCCGTGTCCTGCTGGCCAGGAGACACTAGAAAGGGGAGTCTCCAGGCCCAGCCCCTCCACTCCCTGAGCCCTGGTCTCATGATCATGCCGCCTGTGTCACTTCTCCTGTTTCTCAGAGACCACGCCCACAGGGGCCGCCCCTAGGCTCCAGCTATATCCAGAGTCATCTGTGTAGGCTCTCTCAGGTGCCCTCTGACAATAATGGGCCTAGGGCTCTGGTCTGAGACACCAAGCCACCTGCCGAGGCAGCCTGTCCTGGCAAGGATCGCTGGCTGCTTGACATTTAAGAGCAGTGAACGCATCTGCTGAGTAGGCCAGCCAGCCTCCAGGGCCAGCCCCTCTGCTCCCCGAGCCCTCCTCCTCCTCCCCACCTCCCGTGACCTCAGGCTGTGACTGTCCTGTCCCTTGTACCCTTCAATTTAGATCCTGATTGCTATCTCCTGTGAGCTCCTGGCCCGGAGACAGCCCTGGGGCAGAGTTGTGTGTGTGGTGGGGCAGATGAATGGGCACTAGCTTCCCAGGGCTCATTCTAAAACCTCTGAGGAAAGCAAACCATTTCAGACACCCATGAAGGTAAAAGTAAACACACCCACAGCTCAGCTGCCCAGCTTAACGTGTTAAAAACAAAGCTGAAAGCGGAGCGCAGTGGCTCGTGCCTGCAATCCTAGCACTTTGGGAAGCTGAGGCAGGAGGATTGCTTGAACCCAGGAGTTCGAGACCATCCTGGGCAACATAGCAAGACCTCATCTCTACAAAAACATTAAAAAAAAAAAAAGTTAGCCAGGCATGGTGGTGCCTGCCTGTAGTTTGGGAGGCTGAGGCAGAAGGATCGCCTGAGCCCAGAAGTAGTGAGCCACGATCATGCCATTACACTCCAGGCTGGGCAACAGAGTGAGACCCTAACTGAAAAATAAAATGAATAAAATAAATATTCATACAGTCGAGAGCCCCTCAAGCCCCGCCCCAGCTGTATTCCTCTCTCTGCTGTATTCCCATCCCCACCATCTGTATCCCCATCCCCACCATCCTGAGTGTGGCCTCTCTCATCTCACCCACCCCTGTGATTCACGGAACACTTGTGTATGCCCAAGTCACCATCTGATTTTAGGCCTCCGTACTCTGTGTGCCCTCCTGCAGCTGGCGTTTCTCATCTACCCCTGCTGATGTGTGCCGTCGCTGGTTCCCCAGCTGTGTAGTGTTCCATGGGATCCTTTTTTAACCCATTCTCCTCCGGTCATCTTACAGGGCCTACTGGCCGCTCCTCCTCTGACCCCAGCAGGCCACATGCCATGACTGCTTTCTTCCCCTGCTCCTGCCCGGTTCACAGGGCAGCTACTCTGGCCAGGCGCTAGCTTGTCCCTCAGGAGAGGAAGTGTCGACGCTGAGAAGCAGGGGTAGCGGGCACACCACGGAGAGGGCCCCTCTGTCAGACGGTCTCCAGGGCCACCTTCCTAGAGCAGGGGCAGGGAAGCGGAGTTCTGCAAGGTGGAGGCTGTCTGGCATGTGACCAAGTGCGTGACCATATAGGAATCTCCAGGTCAAGGGACTCTGAAGGGCACATATGGGTGTGGGGGGTGGGGCATGGGG